TGTGCCTAAGTAGCAGGCCTATAATATTGTATGATTCTCTTAGGGGGCTATTCATTATTTTTCAATTTTTTTATAGCTATTCTTTCTGCAGGAAGCATAGACAGGGAAGCCCAGGAGTTCGCCTGTTTTTATGGGCAGTAGGAAGAAAGATGGTTTAATAGTGCCAATAACACAACTACCTGCACACTGGTCAGGCAGCTTAGCGTAGGCTCTATGTCCACATATCCAGTATGGATGGTCCCACTGGGGGCCGTCCAGTCCCGGTGGGATTCTGGGTGGGCTAAAATGGTCTGCAACTTTGGAAATTGACTGAATGGATTTTTATCTGTGTGGTTTGAACTCCACCATGTAACTGTTTTTGTGGTACTATTATACGGTTTTTGTCTTAGGCAACTAAGTCATCCTACAGAATGAGTGAATTCTTTCCTTTTTCTAGCTATGCAATATTGTCCAATAATTGAGACTTTTGGAACCTAGAAATGATCAGGGTGATTCTTTAGGGCTGGGAATTCATCAGGAACTGGGTCTGTAGGCACTAATTCTTGGGCTTCTTATGGCCATTGATCTATTACAGTTTTTCCACAAATATAACATTTAGAGACTGGGCTACATACCTTGGATAGAATAGCATTATACAAACAAGTTTCTTTTAGAGTCCCAGTACATGTATAATAACCATAAAATAACAGGACTGTAGCAATCTTTTGTCCTACCTCAGTGACTTGATGTATATACTGGGAACAGTCCTCAGTCTGAGGAAGGTCAGTTGAAGCCCTCATTGTACAAGTCCAAATTTTAAGGAAAATGAGTCCCACGATGAGTTTCCTCACGCTTCGGCCGTGCGTGGACCAGTGGAGCAGGGCTTGTCGTCTTCTTCAAAGTCACTTTGCAGGGGTTGGTGAGGCTGCTCCCATCCACGTACAGCTCCCAGTCTACTGATGTTTAAGGAGGTCTCGGAGGTCTTGGAGAATAAACTGAGTCCAACACCTCTACACAGTTAGGTTTAACTGGGCTCTCTGATACCAGGAGTAAGGTGGCGGGGTTTAGGGTGTTGTAAACTTCAATGGTTATGTGGGGATTTTCACGGAGCAAGATTTGGTATCTAGTTAGTCTAGCATTCATTAGCTAATGATGTCCTTTGGTATTTATTAAAGTCACCACAGCATGGGGGGACTTTATGTTTAGGTTTTGCCCAAGAGTTAGCTTACCTGCTTCTTGTGCTAACAGGGCCGTTGCTGCCAGGGTGTTAGACATGGGGGCCAGCCTTTGGAAACCCTGTCTAGTTGTTTTGAGAGATAGGCCACTGGCCTTGGCCAGGGCCCTACAATCTGGGTTAAAACTTCAACTGCCATTTTTTTTTTTCTTTTTGACACATAGAGTGTAAAGAGTTTTGTCAGGTCAGGTAGTCCCAGGTCTGGGGCCGACCTGAATTTTTCTTTAACTCATGAAAACCTTGTTGCTGTTGGTTGTAATAGATGTAGTTTATCTAATTTACATTTTTATTAACTGTCACTTAAATCCTGCAGCTATTTGATTTCAAGCTTTCAATTGATCTGGTATTCCTTGCAGGACTCCAATTGCTTCTAAATGGACGTGAGAGTCGAAAGACCTATAAGGGGCTTCTCTCACTTTACGATGTCTTATTTTTCCTCCCTCTGGTTGATGAAATGCCAGGGTGAAAGGGATAGTCAACTGGACTAAAGTACAAGTGCCACTCCAGTTATTTGGCAGAGTGACTAGTAAGGTCCACCAAAACGCCACCACACATCCGCTCGGGGATGAACAAGGGCTGACTGATAGATAGGCTCTTGAAAATGCTCAAGTTCATCGCATTCCTTCGGGTCTCCAAGGAATGCTAAATGTCTTCCCTGTTGTGAGAGACACAAAGTGAACTTAGTGTTGGGAGACGGAGGCTGGATGACTCTCCGGGGCTGACCCACAGGGTGCTGGACTTCGAGATATAGCAGAGAGAGAGCTCGGCGAGACTTGTTACTCCAGCCTGTAGAATCCTGGAAAAGAGGTACCATGCAGCCCACGCCTGGTCGACTGGAGGACCACCTTAGTGGAAGGGGGACAGTCAGGGCCTCTGGCCTGCCATGTGCACAAGCATAACAATTGCTTTTGTTTAACGTGCAGATAGAATATTTGATCCATTCCAACCAGGCATTTGCATCTTGGTATGCTGTCTTAGTTGCCAAAATTTGTTTTAAGTTTTTAACTTTTATGATCTTCTAGTAAAATGAATGTTTTTTTAGCACCTGTTTTTATTGGTTTTTAAACCAAAGATAGCCAAATACCATTTTACATTTAACAATGCTTTTTGTATCATTTTTATACTAGAGAAGATAAATTTTACCTTTATATTAGTGTGTTATTAATGTTAATTTTAATAAAATCTTGTAGACCTATTTATCTAATTTTTAATATTTGACCATAAGGTAAGATTTTATACACTCTTTTTAACCTTTTATAATTTTTGTTAAAGAGCAGGTTGGTGCTTTAAGAAAAAACTGTTGCATTTTTACTTCAATGTCCAGTTCATAGAAAAACTGGATGATACCTTTTTAACTTTAGCTAATATGTTTACACACAGAATTTTCTCTATAATTAACGCTTTAAAACTTGCTTAAGCTTTCAAAACAATAATTTTTTTAACCTTTTAATGTAGGTAAAAATCCACATTCTTATGCCTCCTCATAAGCCTTTTACCAAAGGTATATTTTACTTTCCTTACACACCTTACACATAAACTGTTTCTTCAGTAGTACTCAGGAGGCCTTATTACTTTTAAACTATACAACATTTTTTGCATAAATTTTTTTATAACATTTTTTCTTTCACGAATTTTGCAGACAATTCTTTGACATGTCTCAACTTTCTGACTTATTACAAACATTTCTTTCTTTAAACAACCACTTAATTTATTTCAGGACAAGAATTTAGCATATAACACTCTTTTTACATACATTCTGCCTCCCCGCGCCCCCCCCCACGCCTTTTTTTTTCCTTTTTTCTGTTAGCAAACCAGCTACCACTACAGATTGAATGCGTCTGGGCCATTTGCGGGTTACTGGGTTAAGGATTTTTGATAGGAAGGCCTCAGTGCTTTCGGGATACGCCCTTGTTTACACTGACAACAAAGTGGTATTAGAGTGTTACAGGGTTACTCAGAATACCTTTAATTATCAATTACAGGTTTTAAATTTACCTTGGCTTTTAAAGGAATAGGGTATACTGTTTTATTCTTAACTACTTGAATATTTCTCTCTTTCTCTTTTTCTTTTTCTCTTTGACTTTCTGTCTCTCTCTCTGACTTTTCTTTTGCCTCTGTCTCTTACTCTCTTTCTGCCTCTCTCTCTCTCTCTCTTTTCTTGACTCCTCCTTTGTCTCTTTGCCTCTTCCTCTCTGTCTTTTCCTCTCATTCTTTGCCTCTTTTTCTCTCTGTCTCTTTCCTCTCTTTCTCTCTGCTGGTCTTTCCTTGCCTCTGCCAGCCACTTATGCTGCTGTTCTCTTAACTACTGTTGTGGGGAAGGAGGTCTAAAACCAGCTGTTGTACGGGAACTGGTCTGGGTACCTTGGCTTACAGGATACCTTGGGCCATGCCTTTGAAACAAGGGACCTGTCTAGGCTTCCTTCTGATGGCCAACCCACTTCTCATGCTGGCCAGTCTATTTCACACAAAGTTCTAAGTTTTCCTGGTGTCATAGTTACACCGTAATCTCCCTTAAATCCTTTCTTGAAAATTTTCAACATAGTTCCTAGTGGGGTGGGCTTACTTTGTGCCTGACCCATGTCTCCTCGAGACAAAACACCACACTCACACCACATGCATACCACAAAACAAAGAACGGGTGAAAAGGGCACACACACACACGTTTACAGTTTATGCCAAACCAGAATCAATATCAAAATCAGAGAATCAAGAAATCCAAGCCAGGTCAAAACCAAAACCAAAGTATCAAGAAATCCAAGCCAAGTCAAAACCAAAAACCAAAGTGCCGGTACAGGCACGTCATGGGTGATCAGGCCACACTTCCACTCAAATGAAGTAGGCAAATACCCAAGACCAATCCTGTCAAGCAATTCAAACCAAGTCAAAGTCAAAGTCAAAACCAAAACCAAAACCAAAGTGCCGATAAAGGCACGCTGTGGGTGATCAGGCCACACTTCCACAAATGGAGTAGGTAAATACCCAAGACCAATCCCGTCAAGCAATTCAAACCAAGTCAAAACCAAAACCAAAGTGCTGATAAAGGCACACCGTGGGTGATCAGGCCACGATTCCACTCAAATGGAGTGGGCAAGTTCCAAAGACTAGTCTTACCAAGTTTTAGATGTCCAGACTCCAAGTGCCAGTTCCTTCCCGAAGTTCAGCCACTGCGTTGATCCTCCAAGGGGGCCTGCCACACGCTGCTCTGGCGAGGCATCCCACTGGAGCAAATGCCTACCCGGGAGCGCTCTCAGGATCCCTGTCACTCTGGCTGGTTAGAGTCCCTCGCAGGGATGTTCCACAGGGCAGTCTAAAGCCGCCTAAGGAGCTGCCTCCACCGTTTGTTAATCACCTCACTTCCCAGTCAGGGAACCAAGGAATGTAGCGGACAAAACCCCTCAGACACTGAGACAGTGAAGGAAGTGGCTTTAATCAGCAGGGAGGATCCACAGGCTAGCGTCTTAAAATCCAAGCTCTTCAGGTGCTCAACTTCTGTCCCTTTTAAGGGCTCACAACTCTAAGGGGTTCTGTGTGAGAGGGTCGTGATCGATTGAGCAAGCAGGGGGTACCTGACATGGGCTGCAAGCACCAGTGGTCAGAGTGAAACAGAACGGAACGGGAGGTTTCACAATGTCCTTCCATACAATGCCCGGAATCTACAGATAACATCAGTTGCTAGGTCAGGGGTCAAATTTTAACTACCAAGCTTAGGTCAGGCAGGCCCAGGCCTTGGTTTCGGATCTGGTTCCTAGGTGCCGGGCTACCTGCCTTTGGTTTCGCTTCTCTTTCCTTTTCTGCGTATAAAACAATATAAAACAACATGAGAGGGTCTCTCCTCTCATGAGTTAAAATGAGAGACACCTCCTAATTACACTGTTCTTTCCCAAGATTTTGGAAAAATTTTCAACTATCCACGATCCCCAAACATCAATATCATCCTGGTTGGATGATCTAGGATCACAGGGAGCAGATGATCTCCTTTTGAGCTCTTTGGACATTCGGTAGCATCCTAATGCCTTCACAATGTCTGCGCCACGCACCTCACTTTCTCTCAGCCCGCAGGAGGCATCCTATCATTTCACATCATCCAAAAAAGGGTGAGTACAGTGCAGTGTAAGGTATTTTAGAGAGAGAGATTAGGCATTCACATAGCTCTTCTCACAGTGTATTGTTATAATTGTTCTACTTATTTATTGCTTTAATCTCTTACTGTGCCTAATTTATAAATTGAACTGTATTACCAGTATGTATGCAAGGAATAAACATAATATATAAATATATAATATATACATATATGTGTATATGATATATTACATGTATAGTATATATTATATATTATGTGTATATAATATATACAATATATAATAAATACTATATATGGTATATATTATGTTATATATGCATATAATATATAACATATACAATATATACATATATACTATATACATATATATGCACGTATATGCACATATAATATATACACATGTACACATATAATATACATATATAATATATACACATATATACATATATATCTACATATATAACATATACATATATTATGTATATACATATTATATATACACATATATATACACACAGTACTATCCACGGTAACAGGCAGCCATTGGGGGTCTTGGAACATATCCCTGAGGATGAGGGGTTACTGTAGTTTTTTGTACTACATTTACAAAGTTTCTGTAAATTCAGAATTATTTCAAAGTTAAAAGTTAATAAAGAGACACTAACTGCAACTCATTTTAGACACATCTCAGAATCAAAGCTATACTCATCACAAAAACCAGAAAGTTGAATTTTGGTAACCTCATGGGGGACATTCCCTCGCCGAGTTTCAGGATAGTCAGTGTTTTACTTTTTATTGTTATTGTTATTGCAGTAGAACCCTAGTATTTAAAATAAAGCAAAATAACTCTTATGTGCAGTCCTAACACAGATGCATAAAAGCAGATATGCAGTTAAAACTTGCATTAATCAGCCTTTCAAAAGTAGCCCCGAGCGCCTAAGATGTCCTGGAATCACAACATTTTATTATAGAAAGGATTCCAGGGATTGTCAGCCAAAACTACATTATTTTATAAATGAATTAACAATACCTTTGGTCTGAAAACAAAAATATATGTGTTTATTCATTAATGATAAAATTTTAACAAACACTTGTCTCTCAAAGTCAACATTCATGCATGCAACATGCTGTTTTTCCTTCTTCAGGTCCTGGAATAGAATGTCCCTTTTCGAGTTAATGAGACAATATCTTTGTGTATTTGGAGACATTTAATTTCTCAGAGATTATATGCACGCTCTTTTAAAAATGCAACTTGAAGGCAAACAATAATCTCTTGTGCTTTTCCTTTCTTATTCTAGGTTTTTTCTACAAATAAAATGTAGTACAATATTTCTTACCAATTCACCCAAGAAGCATACTTTGTAAGAGGCACTGAACCAGGTATAGAAAGACCTGATTTTTGCGATTCAAGAGCTCGTCCTCTGGTAAACCGAGTGCTAAGAAGTGCTGGCCGACTGCCCTGCAGGCTCAACAGGAATACAGAGAACAGAGAAATGGGGAAGGCGTCTGTGTTCGAAACCCAGGTCAGCTCAGCGGTCAAGCAAGTCGGAGTCAGAAAAAGTAAAGTGTTTAACATCGATTTTTCAATATTTATTTGTTTACAATGCGTCACATTCTGTTCCTAGATAGGGTTAACCTCTGAAGACCTCCGATTTCGCTGCTTTTCCTCGCCGTGGAGCGGGAATGAAATCGGCGTCCCGGCCTCGGCGATGCGCGCTCGTTCCTGGGCCGGAGGATTTGGAAAGGGAGGAAAATATCCACATTTTTAAAAAAGTGGGTAGCCCTTGGCTCACGCCTGTAATCCCAGCACTTTGGGAGGCCGAGACGGGCGGATCACGAGGTCAGGAGATCGAGACCATCCTGGCTAATACGGTGAAACCCCGTCTCTACTAAGAAATACAAAAAATAGCCGGGCGAGGTGGCGGCACCTGTGGTCCCAGCTACTCGGGAGGCTGAGGCAGGAGAATGGCGGGAACCCGGGAGGCGGAGCTTGCAGTGAGCTGAGGTCCGGCCACTGCACTCCAGCCCGGGCGACAGAGCGAGACTCCGTCTTAAAAAAAAAAAAAAAAAAAGTGGGTAGCCTTGTATGCCCCCTCACTCCCCCGCCGCACTGGAATCTATCCTAAACTTACTTTCATTTACATTAAAACGGGACGGTTTGAGTCTACCAAACCCAATACCGCATCTGTGAGGCTCCTTTTGGCACAAACCTGAATGAACAGCGGGAACTGCCGCCTCCGCGGGCGCCTGAGATCTGGGGTCCCCTCCCCACCCGGTCTCCCCGCTCCAGCCCCCGCCCCATGAGCCCCAGGAAGGCACCGCCGAGCGCCGGGTCCTCGCAGGGTCCGGGAGACTCCGCGGACCGGAGGCGGGATGGGGGGCCCGAGCTTTGGGGGCGGGAAGGGAGGGTGGGAGGAGGAGGGGGGGAGCGGGGTTGGGGGAAGTTGGGGCTTCTGTATCTTTTCTCTTGGTCAGGACATCCTCGGGCCCTGCGCTGTTTCTCCAAGGGCTGGGGAGACGCCGTGGGGAAAGGTCTGAGGATGCGGCCGGCGCGCACAGGTGTGGGGGCTTCAGAGGGCCCGGGAGGACCCATGGGCCTCGAGGCTGTGGACTGGAAATGCCCCTGATGAGAAGCTGAGAACCTTTGGCCAGGGAGGTGGGGCGGCCGGGAGAGGTCGTCAAGCCGGTCCACAGCGCGCCCGTCTGCGCCCCAAAGGAGCGGGGGTGCCCCCCTCCCATCCACCCACCCGCCGCCGCCGCGCGCCGCGGACCTCGGCGACCCAGCCCGGGTAGAAGCGCGCGCTCCCCGCCTCCAGCCTCGTGCGCCGGCCCCTGCCCCGCCGGCCCCGCGATGGTGCCCCCTCCACCCCCGCGGGAGCGCCCCTGTCCCCCCATCCTGGCACTTTCCCCGGAGTCGCGCGCCGGTTTCCCGACCCGTGGGAGCGCCCCTCTCCCGACTCCCGCGGATCCGCGCTCGCCGCCCTCCCCGCGGGTGCGCGCCCGGCCCCTCCTTCACCCGGGGCGGGTCTGCGTGGGCGGCGCTCCCGGGCGGCGGGCGGAGCTCGGGTTCCCCAGCTCCGCGCCCCGGTGTAGCCTGAGCTGGAGCCGGAGCCGGCCGAGGGGCGCGGACGCCAGGCTCCTGGCTCCAGGGCGGGGTCCTAGCGTTGAGCTCAGCCGGCCCGGAGCGCGGACCCAGCCGCAGGGGTAGCGATGAGCACCGAGGGACCCCCGCCCCCGGCCGCCCCCCGCGGACGTCCGGGCTGCCTGCTGGTGCCTGCGCGGGTGAGTGCGGCCCCTCTGCGCCCCTGCACCCCCGGCCCGCTTCCTTCTCCTTCGCGCCCGTCTCCCTCCACGCCCACCTCGTTCCCCGCGACCCCTTCCCTGTCTCCGCGGGCGGCTGGTCGGAGGGTGGACGCCGGAGCCCCGGGACGCAATGGGCACCCGCCCCCTGGCCGCTCTGCTCCCTCCAGCGCGGTGTCTTACTGGAAACTTGCAGGCTTTGCTCTTCGAGTGTCTTGCAAGGCTTAGGTTTTGGGGTGCACGGGCTTCCCTAAACTGCGTGGGAGGTAACGCTTTCCAGAATTTGGAATTTGAGATCGGCCCCACATTCCTTCCCAGGAGCGGCTCCTTTGGGTCCAGGCGGTGGTGCGGACCTGAGCGTCCCCCCTGCAGCCTTCTGGCGCCCAGGCCGGGTCTGAGCTGGCTGGAGTGAGCCTGGCCAGGTGCGTGGCGCGGCCTCGGCAGGTGCTGGGGGCTCTTGGCCATTCGGGGAGCCGCTGGGACGCCAACTGGGTAATACGGTTTCTTTTTTGAAGTCTATTCTAGTTCTTACCCTAAATAACTCCCTCTCTACCTTCTTACTTTTAAATAACTAAACTATTGATTGACAGAAAACAAGTATTAGTTCAAAGAAAAACGAAAAGTTCTTGGAAACCTTCAAGTTGCCACCCACAGCACAGCCCCAAGTTGTGAAAGCAGTTTAAGGGAGCACGTGGCCACCCCAGCCCTAGGAAGCTGCCTGGGAGCGCGGCTGTTCAGGAAAATGCATTGACAACCCCTCCTTTAGGATTCCTTCCCCCAGGAGCTCCCAGTCCCCGGAGCCACCAGGAATAGGACAGCTGAGAGACGGTTCAGAAGGCCACAGGCTGAGGGCTGCTACACATTCCTATTGTCATAATAACGATTCTAAACTAGGACAGTGGTTGTAGCTACTGTGTGATGTTAAAAATTATGGAGATAGATGCATCTTCATTTAAGTCGTACCTTTCTGGGCTTTTACTACAAAATATGAAAATTAAATTTCATGTAAAATGTGGGTGTTTATTTCTTGACGTATTTGTAACATGAATAGCCATCCCGCTGTTGCCCATGGTAATCAAACCCGAGAAAGTACGCGGGGATTACCTGGAAATAAACTGCAGTAAAAACTGCAGGCGCTCTGGAATCACAGCTTTCCCTCTGGTCACCGCCTTCAGCTTTAAAATGATGCCCTCCCATGGTTAGGAATTGTGCGTTTTTCTCGAGACATTCTTGCAGCAAGTCTTGCTTTTAATCATTGTAATTATAGCAGAAGCTTTGAAGTGGATTCATCATACTTCATAATTGACCCACTTGATGAGTTATTGGCAATAACGTCAACAAATACAGCAACTGCGCGTATTCTAGTAAATGTTCTCATTTGTGCTCAGTGTTAATTAAGGGGCTGAATTTGATGTTTTCCAGTCAAGGGTGGCCTCTGCTCACCTGTTTGCTACAAGATGTGATTGGTGCTTTCTTTGTAATAAGGACCTTGATTATTTGAAACAGCCTATCTGAATTGTGTTGAAAGAAACTTTTTTTTCAGCGTTGGAAGCCAATTATTACAATAAGACGGAAGCGTTTTAAGACCACGACTCCTAACTTTGCAGTCATAAGTAATTAGGTAGGTGCTGAGCCTACCTTAGACACCTTAGCCTACCTTAGACATTAGACACGGTCGTGTTAGCTCAGATTCTTATTTATTTAAAACGAATCTGTTAAGTATTGGTGTTGGCAGGTTTGTCTTGAATGTTCTTAGCATACAATGTCATCCTTGCTTAATGGCAGAGACAACTGCGCAGAATTATTTTCTTACCATAACTGCATAATATTATTCAACTTGTGTAATTATTTCATCATTTCAGTGAAGAGAACTTGGTGCTTTTAACTGGAAAAAGGTGAAAGTCTTTTCTAAATCTTACCTTTCTAGTCATGTTTTTTTTCTATCTGGAGTTGAAACCGTGCACATTCTTTATCATGACTCCTTGTCTGAATCATGGAATTTGGCCACGTTTGAAGGTCTCCTGTTCAGTAGCAAAACTGTCTTGTGTCCCCTTTCTCGTGCCTGTTCTCGATGTCTTTTTCTAAGTTAAGTCAGTTCATGGAGCTCTGTCTCTGACCATACCTGGATTTTGTCTGTCCGTGATAAAGTCCCACGGACAGACAACCCTCAGTACAATGTGCTAAGTGTGTCTTGCTTGTAGCTTCAAAGACTACTATTGGTTGATGTTTACAGCATATTTGCTGCTTTTAAATGACAGCACTACTTCTGTCTGGGGCACGGGAAGAATCCTTGACATGAGCTAGGAACGTGCCCGTTTATACGATGAGCTTGCCCACTGAAAGGGGCACATTAGGTCATTTTAAAAGTGCATTTGCTAAGGGCACCACTTAATCATCTGTTTACAGATAGGAATTGCTGCATGAGATGAATGAAGCCTCTGACCTGCTAAGAAGGTTACCCATTCCTTCTATGCTTTGGGTATGTTTCTCATCCTTGCTGACTCATCTTTAATTTCAATTGTAGAATTTCTGTTGATGTCTATGACATCATAAGCAAAACTCATGCATTATAAAGCAGGCAATTACCTGATTTTACCAGGAGACATGGAGACATGTTCCCCAATAAATATTTAAACGAGGCAATTAAGAAAAGTGTGCCTCCCCCTCTCCCCAGTATGGAATGTTAAAATTGCCTTGTTTTCTGAATGGTGTATGTAGAGCAGCAACTTCTTGTCTCTGGATATCTTTATGGCTGATGACTGTAGACAAGGCATTTAAGCTTCAGTTTTAATTTAGATCTCCTTCTCAAGATACCCCATGAGGCTCTGAGCGAGTTGGCGGAGGGGCTGGCATTGCAATTCTCAGTGAGAGAGGATGTGTTTGCACCGCAGGCCTTCTATTTACTAAATGGGTACATTCAGGATAGACTTACTTAGCAGTGTGATTTTCTGGCTTTCCTGTTAGCTCATGTAGCATGTGACAACAGGCGCATGAGGGACCCCAAAGAGGAGCTGCTCTCAGGTTCTGCTGCACACCCCTAGCTCCTGCAGTGCTGGGCAAGGGGCAGGCACAGGCAGGTGCTTGTGGAAATGGAGAGGGAAGGAGGGAGATCAGGGTTCCAGGGAGCTCAGATAATCCCCACCTCGGGAACGGCCATCCTCTCTGGCTCTGGCTTCTCACCTGTGGACTATGTGCTTGGGTTCTGAAGGTCACTTTGCATCTGATTCCAGATCCCTCAGAAACTCGCTCTTCAATTAGATTCTAGAGGTATTTTTGTTGAGTGAGAC